CTACACCTGATGCCGCTGCCTAATTTTCTCCTCATCCATATTAACGGGAGCATTGTACCAATGCAGCGTTTTCGTGGGGTATATGAGTCGATTACGGGCAGCGGCATCAGGTGTAGAGAAGCGTTGTAGGGCGGACATAGAATAATCACGGAACGATGGGGAGCCATCAGGTAGATCAAAGGGATCTCTGAAGTTACCGGCTCAATACAACATTCCCATCAACGGTAGAATTACCAATAATAACTCTACATTTATTGACCTTGGCAGTAAGGAAATAAGTAAAATAGGCTGCATTCACACTTTGCGTCAGCATCCTTCAGCGTTTCGAGCGACGCCATCACCAACGACTAGGAATATATAGATATCGATCTAGCGTCTGCTAGCGTCGTCAGCAACTAACAGCGACAGGGAGTAGAGGGAATGGGGAAGCAGGAGGGAGCAGACAGCTGAAACAGGCGTCGTGAAATTGCGGCATGTGCATCGCACTGTACGACAGCCCTACACCGTACATCAGGATTGCATGATTCTGCGCTCCAGCAGCCGTGCAGTGCGGTTGCACCCGCTACAATTCCACGATGCCTAATCCAGCCGTCTGCTACCCTCCTAATTCCCCATACCTCCACTTCCGGACGCTGCTGTACGATGAAAAATGCTGGTGGACGCTGGCGTTCGCTAGATCGTTATCTACACTTTCCTAATCGTTGGTGCTGGACTACGCTCGAAACGCTGGTGGTCGCTAAAGGACGCTGACGCAAAGTATGAACGCAACAGTTCAGAGGACAACAGCCCGACAAAGCCTGCTCGAATGTGTTCTCCTGCCGAGATAATGATACCCTCTAAACTATGCCCTCCGCCCGCCACAAAACGTTGCAAAGGATTTTGAAAAACACTCCTTGATCTGAAAGTTAGACCAAAACGGACACGGCCTAATCCCGACGTACACTAGCCAGCCTCGACAATATTAACCAAGCGACAAATTTTGATAAAAGCGCGTTGCACCCTCGCCTTCTCTCACAATAAATCTGCCAAATATGAATTCCCGGCTGTTGGATGCCTTTAATAGGAGCAGCATAGCGCTCTCAATCGGTGCTTTATTTATTACCAGCCATCATCTTCAAAAGTCTAAAGAAGAAGTCATCGCAGCTGATCAATCCATATTTGGGATGCGGCGCGCATCCTACTCCAATCCATAATCTGTGTGAAGTGGCTTACTGAATGCAAAGTGGCCCCATATGATGGTTGCGAAGGAGAGCCATTGTACGAGTTAATGGTCTTACCCTAACAGACGAATCTGGTACCAGTTTACCGCCCCAGGAGGATAGGACGTTCGGTTGGCCCGGGTGGGAGCCGATCCGGGATTTGATCCCTGGCCCGTGCGCGTGATAAGTGTGCCGCTTGCCGCTACACCAACTCCGCCAGCTCCATCAGCTCCTAGCCAGCACGAATAATTTACCAATGATGACTTACGTCACTTCTCTCACAGCAGGCTGAATGCTTAGCTTCAATTGCAGCGTCAATCCGAAAAGTTGTATTCCTTGAAGATACTTTATGGCGTTGCTGACCTAAAAACAGAAATAGTCCACTTTCTAACCTCCAAGGTCATGCCCTCAAACACTTAGAGGGAACGTACCGCTGTAGGAGTTCCTAGTTCAGCCATTACTGTATCTTTCTTTGTAGCCATGAATCGAATCTTGAAATAAGTACATAAAGCTGGAAACGAGAAGCCAAACGACGCAGTTCGGGTTGGTGGGGGCATTTTGCTGGTTCCTATTAATCAATGGCGATGCCTCCTGGGGAGACTTGTCAACTCTTGTAAAGATATACAGCAGTACCAGCTTGACATGTGTTTACAGGTCTCACCAATGTGAGACCTGTAAGTTAACAGGAACTAGTAAGGTTATTGAAAACATAACGCCCTCCCCCCCAAGCCGAACAGCGCCAGCTAAACTAAAAACACTCACTCTAAGAACATTTCCATATTGACACAACAAATTGAACAACTTCTCGCAATTAAGCTTTTCATGATCAATGCCATAAATCATCAGTACACAACCCTGAACAAATTTTTCAAAAAAAAGTTTTTTTTTCTCAAAAAAGGAAGATCGTTGAAGAGACAAGTCTATAATCTTACAGTTCCGCCGAGAGGAGGATAGCGCCCAGCATCATCGCCATAGTCTCCGGGATAACCCGTAACCGGAGGACGAAGAGCACCGCCTGGGCAAACAGTATATTAGAGCACTCCTCCAGATAAGACCGGTAAGCTAGAAACTCACGCCCTAAATATCCTCGAGGTGGTCCACCGTAGGAGTCGTACCCGCCACGTGTAGTCTGCAAAAATACATGAAATATGAGCAATGAAAGAATCGAGAGAGAAAATCCACAAAATATGAAAGAAGGGAAGAACAACTGAGTACGGTATGTTAGTTCATACCTAATTCATACCTACTCATACCGAACCAACAATGTGAACCTTCTAATACTTCGAAAGTTTAGCTTGAAGCAGTATGCTCCGCCAAGGAATCGAGGGGGCTTTTCTGCTCGTCCACATCCCCGCACCGAGATATCGGTCCGTTTCTCCCACAGGGCAGACGGGTAGAGACGACACGGCACCACCTCGCCTTCCCCAACCCAACAGGCAATCGGAACATGATATTTAATGCAGAGAAACACCCAAAAACACCTGATGACGAAGTAGACGTACCATCTATCACGGAAACCATAGATCCTTTCAGCAGTAACCATTGTCTATCCTCATGCTCCGTCCTGGAATATCAGGTGTTTCGGATAACATTAATTCCAGTGGTCCAGTGGAAGGCTTACATAACAGAAACAATTGGAATAGCAACTGAAAAACATAAATATTCACGCATACCTCCTCCAGGCAAGAGAGTTTTCCTTTGATTCGGGGCTCGGGAAATCCAATATGTCCTCCTAGAAACCGTTTTTATTGCAGTGAAGTGAGAACGTCAAGGGATAAATGACATCAGAAATTGAAAAAGGGCAGATCATGGATTACTGCCACAATTCTCGCCACAGCTTTCATGATGAAAATTCCACCGCTATAGTTGAGGGGGTCATGTGCTACTCCGAAATAGCGATTCTTTTCCCTCATCGATCCCAACTTTAGAAGGGTGCTGAAGACCAGGGCCCATGTAGATTCGTTTCCAGTAGCAGAAACGTAGACTTATTCACGTTGCCCCCTTCCCCCTATCACCATCTCACTAGCACTTATCATTTCGCGAGTTGGAAGAACGAAAACGTAGAAGGAAAAAAAAAACGAAAAACGGAGCAATTTGGCGACGTGGAAAAGGGGAGGGGTTATTTAGCACTTCACTACTTTTCATCAGTGCGTTCCTTGCTTTATGAGAGTTGACAGGTAATCTCCACAAAGTTTTGCTGGTATCTTTTCGTGGCTTCATAAGATTTCACAGGTCTACAGTTGATGGCTCGAGAAGTCAACGTGAAATAACAGAAGTGCAAAGCTTCCCCCCCCCCTCGTCAAGCTGGAAAAAAAACAATGGAGAATCTTCCACACCTTCACCGATCGTGTAGTCCCACTGATCTCCATCTTGACGAGTAACCTTCACATATTCCGGCTTAAACAAAGAGCTTTGAAAATATATTTACGAAAGGAAATCGTTGGAATTTCATACCTTTGCGAATTCCACTTTCAGTGTACAACATCCTGAATAGATGTCGGCACCATTGATAGCATGCTTGACTTTCTTTGCATCTTCGGCACTTTCAAATTCAACCAAGGCTTGCATCATGGATTTGCGAACTATCGCTATCCTCAGCACTTTTGCATGGGGTTCGCAGATTTGGTGGATAACCTGCAGGTAGGTTTGCATAGACAGGGATAAAAAAATAGGCAAAAGAACCAATTTAGAAAAAAAGGTCTATGTAGTATCGGGCTTATGGTCGGCGGATGCAGCAGCGCGATTTTTCTGCTGGTCTATATTCTCCTATCGACACAGCTCCAACCCACCGAGCCTTCCCTGAGTCACGATCATGCAAAACGCCATTAACCACAAAATCCAGAGAAAGAATGTATACGAATCGATTCCGTCGACTATGCCCAGGAGAAAAACTTTCGAAGTGGGAGCGGCTACTGACCGCCTTTCTCACCCACTCAGTTGAAATCACTGAGGGCGTCGTTCCCTCAGGGAATTCAACCCGACGACATGAGAGAAAGACAAACAAGGAAAACTCCCGGAAAATTCTTAACTTCTACAGTTCTAGTGACGTCATATGATAGGACCGCGTTCACAATTCACGATCGCGCGACTGGATCGCCCGATCTGATCACGCGGCCACCGGGACGCTCCACCGCAAGCGGAGCACCGCCGCAACAGCAGAATTCAGATATTCACTGTGTAAAGTGCCCAGTTTGAATTCTGCCGTTGCCGCGGCGCACAGCTTGGCGGTGGAGCTCCTCGTCACACACCTTCTGATCGAAGGTTCCGCTCGCGCGACTGTGAAGTATGAACACACTATTAGAAAGCCCCCCTTTCCCCGAAAGCCTTTTTCGTCTTCCCCTCCGACATCTTCCCTGATATTTTACAAAAAGCTGAACACTTACATGGACATCAATGGGATACTGTGCGTTATACACCGTAATGACGAGCACTTTGCAAGGATTTTCTGATTCGAAACCCAGGCGTTGTATATTCTGCGAGGTAGAGTAGTTGAACAGAGCGCTGCATCTTCAGCACGAATATAAGATTGTGAACGCCGCAAACGCACGCAAGCAAAGCGCGGGCTGAATATATCCTCTATAGCCAATTGCAAAACACAATCTATTTTATAACATCCTAAGCTACTGATTGAACACGAATAAGCGAATTTACTTTACGCATAAGAAAAATATGAAAGCAACTGGGCAGGGTGTAGCACAGTCTTCGCTGTAAGAGTTAGGAGATTACGTGCCCATAATAACAACCGTCCAAACAAAGCAATTGCGTATTGTTTTGTCAGTGTCAGCGATGTCTTAAAAGAACACGTCGCTTAAGGCTGCGTTTATACTTTGCGGCAGCGTAGCGTAGCGTAGCGCAGCGTAGCGTAGCGCTTCCAGCGTACGCCAGCGGCAGTGCCGAAGAGAGGATGCATATCGATCTAGCTTCACCAGCGTCACCAGCGGCACGCTGGCGTACGCTAGCGTACGCCAGCGTTTCTCCAGCGTTTTGCATCACCAGGCGTTTTGCTAGCGCTTGCAGCGGCAGGGGAGTAGAGACTATGTGGCCGTGAGAGAAGCGGAATCGACGTGTATTGTAGAGACCATATGGCCGTCGGAGACGCAGAAGCGATGTGCATTGTAGAGACTATGTGGCGTCGGAGACGCAGAAGCAATGTGCATCGTAGAGACTATGGGGCCGTCGGAGACGCAGAAGCGATGTGCATTGTAGAGACTAAGGGCGAGTGAGAGACGCGCAATCGATGTGTTTTGTACCCTCCAGCTCTCCCATAGTCTCTACTCCCCTGCCGCTGCAAAGCGCTAGCAAAACGCTGGTGAAACGCTGGAGAAACGCTGGCGTACGCTAGCGTGCCGCTAGCGTACGCCAGCGTGCCGCTGGTGAAGCTAGATCGATATGCATCCTCTCTTCGGCACTGCCGCTGGCGTACGCTGGAAGCGCTACGCTACGCTGCGCTACGCTACGCTACGCTGCCGCAAAGTATAAACGCAGCCTAACGTGTTAGGTGACGTCATGACAGCGCTGCACCTGGCTCTTGGGCGGCACTGGTCTCTGAACCGTGTCCTGTTGGTGAGTACGCTCATAGGCGTGTTAAGATTACCTTCTATATCTTCAAATTCCACCAATGCCATCTTCTGTGCCGGAATGACAGTTACGTATGCAATCAATCCGAACGTTCCAAGGGCTTCTATCAAATCCGCCTCCGTAGCCTAAAAATTATGGCTTTTCGATAATATTGGAAGAATGAACGCGCTCATTACTATCATCCAGTACCAACACCGTTTAGAGCAAAGATTAGCCCATTCTTTGACTGTGCCTGCGATATCACTGGGCGAGCGCTACCTCGGCGACAGAGCGCAGACGAACAAAGAACGGATGTGAACCACCTCAGCGCGTTCATACTCCGTGATGCGATCGTTTACAAGGGAATGGTTTGATCTGAAGCTTCCGCCATGGGACTTTGAATGGACCTAGGTACATCGATAGAGCCTCGAATGCTGATTACGAATATGCAGATTAAAAGTGCTACGGGGACCTCCCAGACGAGATCTGGGTGGTCAAAGTTTGCGAAAAGCCAGTTTTGGCTCGTAAGCGCTGCTGATCGATGCCTCGGCAGTGCCACCGTGGCCTCGTGGTAATGGTCTCGCTTTCAAGTCAAACGCATGCGGGTTTGCATCCGGTTGGCGCGAAAATTTTTGCCCTTGCGGCTCCCGTATAAGAGCTCAATCTCTTTGGGATTCTTTCCGAAATTACTGGGCCTGAAGCAGGCAAGTAGATCAAAGTAGATCAAGGTATATGAGCGTAGCTCGATGCTAGTATGGATTTGGTCATGATATGCCGCTCTGCTCAGGTTTACCCATCAGACAATTCAGAAGTCTTAGGCGAGAAACTCGTTCATGGGGTAAATTTCAACCGCTCCTGAACAGCGGATATGCATCTGCCTTGCGACGAAAAAAGGAGGCGCGTCCGGCCTGGCGAAATTGCGAGTTGCTCGCAAAACTTTGAATTGTCGGATGGGTAATATGTTCAGAGAGGGCAGATATGACCAAATCCATACTAGATCGAGTATGTCGTATACTTGATGTACTTGATCTACTTGCCCTGCTGGGCCGTGTAAGTCAGAAGAATTCGAAATATATGAGTGGATATCTATAGGGAGGGCGAAGCAAAAAAATGTCGCGGCGCAACCGATGCCCCACCCGCCTGCGTTTGGACCTTGAAAGCGAGATGCATTAGCCACGAGGGCCACGGTTGGCAACTGGCCCGGCGTCGACGGCACAGGCGCTTATGAGCCAAAAGTTGCTTTTTTCGGCGAAACTTTAAAGCCAGCCCAGATCTCGTCCTGGTGAGGTTTCCCGTAGCCTTTTAATTTGGCATGATTCGGCATATCAGCATTCAAAGCTCTATCGATGAACCTAGGTCTCCATTCAAAGTCCCATGGGAAGTTCAAAACATTCCCTTGTTAGATCGCGCAACCGCGACCAAAGGCGTTCCCTACGCCGTCAATCGCTTTGGACCGAAGCAAAATCAAAAATGGGCCGCGCGGCTCATTTTGATTCTGCCTTTGCGGCGGTTCCGTGATTGGCAGGGAAGCGCCTCCGGCCGTGGTTGCGCGCAATCCAATCGGTCGTATCGCGAAGTGTGAACGCAGTTCTAGAGACTGCAAGCCGTCTAACTACACGACTTTCCACAAAATTTCATCGTTATTTTTTCCCGTAAAAACAATAAACCGCACCTTTGGCTTTAGGTTGCGAACATGAACAACGAGAGATGGTTCAGGATTTGTGGGATCAGCAAGTTCGTCACGTCGAAACCGTTTCATGGGTGGGACACTGAAAACATGACCATAAAAAAAGAATGAAAGGCACTGGGAAAACTGATACAATAAAAGGAGACGGGTGAAAGAACTCACATCTCTTTTTGTGCCATTGTTGCCATTTCTACGTAATGCCTGTAAAAAAACAAACATCAATATTAAGGATAAGGCCAGGCGTATAATTTCGAGCGATTCAGACATTATTCTATGTGTGTTGCGTGGAATGCCAAATGAAGCATGACCTAGAGAATGAGCAATAACGGTAAGACTGCGTTCTACTTTGCATTTTGATCGACTAGGAAGGTACAGGTATCAATCTAGCGTTTTGAGGGTACGCCAGAGTTTTGAGCGTTTCGCGGTAGTTTTGAACATAGCGCGGGCAGTCGCTGAAAACGCTGGCGTACGTTCAAAACGCTAGAGCGATACCTATATCGGTCCAGACGCTGATGCAAACTATGATCGCAACCTAAATAAGAGCAACATCAGAGCATCGCAATTTCTTCCAAAAAATTCAATTTTACCGATTGTGTAATTATAGGATTACGAGGCGATGAAGGACAAGCTGATTATAAATACAGCAAGCATGCAAGATTCTACCAAATTTCTGACTGAAGCTTATTGACCTGCCTCAGCAACTATTAAGCAGCTATACGATTCTCACTTGTCGGAAGCCTTGAAAGCGCTGCAGTGCGGTGGCCTAGGCCATGCGTAATGATTCGGCATTGTTAAAAACCTGCGACCTTGACAAATCGGAAAAGCCGCTAAAAGCATTAAGTAGGTACGGGCCAGGAGGATCGTCGAGTGCTCTAGTGAAACCAGGCACGCCCTGCGCTGAAAAAAAGCTTTGCAAAATAGCCCCCCCCCCTCAGTATTTGACCCTCTGAAACGAACTCCCCTCTCCATGCCTCATTTTACCTACAATCTACCACGTTTTCCCAACTTCTCACCACTTTACTGGAGATTCCCCAAAGAATTTTTCACTTTTGCCATCGAGCGGGGGAAAGGGGTATACAGCTCACGTACAACAGGGAAAACTGAAAAAAATCAATACCCAAAGAACTTTTCTGGAGATCGAACACGACCCCCCCTCGCTGGGGACCAAAGGAAAAGATGTTTCAAAATATATCGACCACCTCTCTTCTTCTAGTTTGCCCTGGTTTAAAATGGATTGAATGCCCTGCTCTAAAATGCTCCCCCTATTTGGGAAAGCGCTAAGAATTGCAGATCACCTCACAGCTCTCCAAAGTCAGTTGGAATAATGCCAATAGTAAAAATAAGTGAAGTAACCGATGTGTTGTAACTGATGGCAGCCAAACAATCAATGGTCAGGCTCACAGCATTAAAGGTCAGACCTGCCATTGTCCATATGTCAAGATTTACGGATTGTAGCGCCGTAACTACTCAGCGGCGCAGGACGTAATTTAACGGTGTTTAGGAGTTGAAGGGCTATTCCGAGGGCTAGAGTAGAAAATTTTGGTACAAATAACTCGAGACATCCAAAACCTATACAAACGGTTCAGTGATGTTCCAGTTATTAGTGTTTGGCAAGAATAGGCCATCTTGGCCTCAGAATCGTTTTCTCGCACCATTCCATTACAAATTGTTGTTCATAGTAGAGAAATCGAGTATTGTTGAAAATGGAGTCGTAGATTGGAAGACTTACGTGCAGAGCCAGGATTACCGTAATCGGGCGCATTATTGCACCATAATGCCCCACCTTATTGAAGTGGTGCCGAAAACAACTACCATAACATTCTTGCAAATTCTGGTCCCAAACGCTTTATTTGACTGTTCGGGTGGGAGACATCTTTTTTTATGTCGAAACGACAGAATGTAAAAAAGCCCTTCAAAGTAATCAGCCCGGTCATTTTGCAGAGGGAGTCCTTTCAAATAACAGCTTCATTTCCATTCCTATTATTGACGACATTCAGCTGTGGATCGCCTGAAAAAAATATTGCGAGCCAGAGGCAATTTTCTGCCCACATTCGGAACTAAATAAGTTCCACTTCTCCGAAAAGGTCCACGGTAAAAGATGTTTGCATTGACTCGAATGTCTCGAAGTCTTACCGGTAGTGCGTATGAAGATGTCCCACTCTGTCGGAATAGCCTTTCAATTGTTAAGCACAGCCTGATTAGGTCTGGATTCGACGGCGCTACAATCCCATAGATCAACGTTGAAACTAATGCTGAAACTAAGCAATAAAAACGCGAATCATGAGGAATTATTAGTTCTGCTCTTATTCAATGCCCGTTGAATTTTAGGGGCGCTTTTGGGACTGACAGGAACTTTAGTCCTTTCTGACCGAGGTCTTCAGTAACATAAGTGGATGGTAAGCTCTGAGATAGTTGGAACATTAAGGAAGTGACTTCGATCTTTCTTGAGCAATTTATTCTCCGTGGGGCTGTGGGAGGAAACAACCTGAATCATGGAACTGGACTTACAAAATCCAGAAAACGAAGGGAACGAACGAAGAAAAACTATTGGAAATGAATCTCGAGGGTCCCATGGGCTATGATCGATGCTGTAAGAAGCGCTGTCGTGCTCGCCTTCTCTATTATATTATTCCTCCAAGTTCCACTAAGGGTTTACGATATGAGGGGCGCCTATTTCATTGACACGCCTCGTTGATACTATTGACCCTGGCATGAAAGGACCACAGGAAAATAAGTAAAGATCAAAAGCGCCAAAGAAGACAGTTCAGGTCATTTTCTGACCATTCAGATATGCATTTGTTACTGACGTTATGTTACTGAAGACAATGTGCATTCACCTCCGTGGGTCCAGCCTTGCTCTTCCCAAGGTGAATGGGTCTGCGGCCGCATCCGAGACGGGAACGGGCCTAGTGAGCAGTGAAACCCGGGTGACGTCTCTTGACTCCGCTCAATCTGCCGCACGGCCAGCCACCCGCCTAACCGTGGCCACCCGCTCTAGTTGTTTGCGCCCTCTCACTTCTGGCTATTCTATACCTCTGATTGCGTGTTCGCAGCGCTATTTCGACGCTCGCCAGAGGTGAGTGTACAGTTTGTTTCATTGGACTTTAATGTGGTACTACGAGGCCGCTTGAAATTATGATGCATATAGTACGCCTGGCTTGGCCCCTCAAGAGGCGCATAACGTTCGTTTTCCAATACAGCAACGAATCTATGAAAGTCGCCAAGCACTTGAAGCATTTCTTGAGCAGACACAAACAGAACAAGAAAAAGAAGATCTGTGAGAACATATAGAGAAGAGGAAAACAGCAAAGTTGCCGAAATACTACAACCAAATCAAATGGGTCACCCTAGCAACAATGGCGCACCGCAGGAGGCGGTCGGTGGGTGCGACTGGCGTTTCTATTACGCAGCACTGGCCCTAGTGCCACCCCAAATTGCATGTCTCTCATTCATTATTGGGACTATTTACGCCTTTATACTGTCCGCAGTTGCATTCTGAAAATCAGGCCCAGCTTCCTGAGCCGACTTTTTTTTCTCGTGGACCAAGAATTCGGATGAGAGAACTTGGCTCCAGGGGCTAGTTCGACTCGCTGAACACGAATATCGCATCCGCTTAACCCGAAACCCTCTGGCGCCCGCGCCACGGGCGCTGGCGCCAAAATAGTCGAACTCACCAAATTCGCTGAAAACCTGCTCCTAGGGGTAGTTTGACCCCCTGATCACGAATATCACATCCGCTCGGCGCAAAACCTCCTGCCTGCCCGCGCTACAGGTGCTGGCGCCAAAACACCTCAGATCACCGGCGCCTGTGGCGCAGGCGCCAGGAGGTTTCAGGCAATGTGAATGTCATATTCGTATTCAGGAGGTCAAAATACCCCAGGAGACAACATTTGAGCCAAATCTGTCCACGGAGAAAAAAGTCGGTCAGAAACTGGCTCAATTTGGGATTGTTGGGGTTTGCCCATTACTGTATCCGCGAACAGTGCACAGCCGCCGCACTTCAGCACGTAATTATGGGTTTGCCGAATCCTCTCGTCCTTACCAACAACGTTGGTCTGTCGGTTGTTTGTCGATCGCAGATCGACAGACTTGGAAATCGACACACCGAGTCTTACAAAAGTCATATAATCTGATGTTCGCGCAAAGACACATCAAGTTGCTTAAGAGAGGTTGCTGCTGTCCGGAGCCTGCATTGCAAATCTGGATGTTAAGCAGGCACAAAAGGGCTCCAAATGTTAGTGTGGCGAAAGACCAAAAGATTCACAGAATCCAAAAGTTTTCGACAAAAGGTTCAATAAAATTTGATGTAAGCGACGGGTAGTTTTCCAGTCGGGAACCGATGCCGTGCGAGGGACGGACGCTGCGCGCGGGCGATGGGATGGCCAATTCACGGGCCAGTGGGCCTCTACGAATCAAGTGATTGATATCGCGACCACCATCTACTACACCCGGGATCGAGAGCAGTAACCCTTTCGTTGTTTCTCGTTCTCCGTTACCATTCCTCAGCCACCGAAGCGAATGAGACCCAGTGGAAATTGCCGAAAAGGACTGGACATGCTCTCGAACTGTATTTCTCATCCGCGCTGACCAGTGTCTGATGGGTGAAGGAACGCAGGGATGCGAAAAGAGAGCATGAGGAAGTCAGGAAGAAAAAAATGAAGGGAGGCGGCTATGTAAAGTGTGTTCGACGTGGGCATTGCAGATCTATGTATTTGTTGTGACGGCATGAAGTGAAGAATGAACTTCTTCAGTAAGTTTCCCGGTAAATTCTGACTTATAAGTCCGGGTGATCTGTTTATACCCAGGTTTTGCTTACCAATCATCTCGTCAAGAGGTTGACCGGATACTCTGCCTTTCTCCGTGGAAAATGGTGGGCCGGCTCTCACGCCAATGGACAGTTGGCCTCGGTAAGGGGTCTCTCGCTTGATCTAAAGCATATGTCGGTATCTTGTTGCACACACTATGGCTAAACCGTTCCTCGCAATTGTAAGTCCTTATCACGCATAATACGGGTGCGCATCTAAGTTATGGAAGCGCTAACTTAGTTGGGGGGGGGAGAAAGGGCAAAGGCTACTACTCGGCGTCTTTGTCGGCAAGCCGAAGTACACTTCGCTCCTGCCTCCCCCCCCCTCGACGCTGACTACGTTAAGCGCCTGCTAGTGCAGCGGGCTTGGGTCCACATCAGGATAAAAAAGTTTCTGCGACGACCTACCTCTTTGCTGTATTCATTTTTCCCCATTAGAGAATTTGACTAGAATTCAATCCCCAGGGTTGTTTGACCCTCTGAACATGAATATCTCGTCCGCTTGGCTCAACACCCGCGCGAGCTCGCGCATCACCATAAGCACTCGGCTCTAAATGCCCTCCGAACTAACACTATTTTGTTGAATACTTGTTTCCAAGAGATGTTTGAGGCACCCTGAGCTACGAGTGATAACGCTATACTGGAGCGTGGCGCGTAAACCAGGCCATCGTTGTTGGGGAATTCCCGATGGGGGGGGGGGGTCGTGGAGGTCTTGGGGCTCGCCAGAGAGAGGGGGGGGGGTTGTAGTGTTTGGGCTGAGAAAAAAATTATTAGGTTTGGCGCGGGCAAGTTTCTGTCACAGTGTTTTCAAAAGTAAGCTTTCTTTTTATATGAGAGGCAGTGTAAGGATCAAAATGTGTACAGCACTGGTTACTCGGGTGGTCCGTTGCGCAGTGTTGAGCACTCATGGATCCGATGAACTTCAACTATGCAGGGACACGACGCCAAAGTTGGACACCAATCTCAACTTCCGACTTTTGATAACTTGTGTATGGAGCGTATTTATGTCCGCATAACGATCGAGTTATACGGAAGGCCAAGTTGCTATTAGAAGGGCGATGTCTGTGCTAATGCGTAAGGGAGGAAATCAAGCAAGCTCCGATAGCGGATGGTAGGCTCGCCTTATTGTGTCGGACAAAGTCGTTGTTTTTCTGTTGTGAGTGGCCGGCTAGTGTGGACAAATTTCCCTCTGATCCACGCGATATCGCCTTAAGATCCTCCGTAGCTCGCTTGGCGCAAACGCCTGACGCAAGTCGAAACAAGCTTGTTTCTTCATCCAGCAGTTTCCCGACCCGCCATAGCTCCCTCAAGCGTTGCAGGTAACCCGAGACAACCCTCACTCTCTCACGACACGTAAGTGCTTGCCTAGGTCCTCCCGCCTTTAAGCGTCAGCTGTCACTGGTCAGGTTGCTCGATATTGGGGCATCGTGGCTTATCATCAGCTCCATACTTTGGGCAATCTGCAGCTAATTGTTGGATGGGTCGGCTAATGGTAGGCCAGGATAAAATCCATTAGTGTCATAATGGGCAAGAAGAAGAGCTAAGAGGCAGAGCGAGTGGGTAACTAACAGAGAGACCACTCTTGTTCGTAATAACAGCTTAACACCTTAGCCAGGTTTACCATCTTGGTGAGATGGCATACGTAATTCGAAGTTCGGAAGAAAGTCAGCTGGGGCGAATCTTCTCTTTCGCCGCACAACGGTCTAATATTTAGATAGTATGATTTTTCTTGTTACATAAGTTGCGTATGTAAAAGGAGAGGAAGGGTCATATTTGACTTGCTGCATGGACAAGAAGGGCTATCGTACTTGGTTCATTGTTGGGAGGTTGGGGTCGCATCCGCGTTTGGCGTTGTTGGACGTGGTGGTTGACATTTTCTATTTGTCCTCGTTTTCATCACTCGGTACTATATGGCCTGCCTAGGTCCTCCGCCCACCCCGCCCCCCCCCCTCTCCGACAGCAAAATTTTTGCAGCAGCAAAATTTTTCGAGGAAAAGTAGGGAGCTTCTCGGGAAATTTTGGAAAAAGTGGCAGGAACTTAGGAAAAATCTGAGAATTGGTAGAAGGGAGGGGGGGGGTCGTATTGTCTCGCCGTCTCAGGGCACTTGTCAACCGGGAAGCCGTTCTTCTCTTTCCTTCTTCCTTCCTCCTTCCTTGGCTCAATTCGATGAGGAGGAACAAAGGACCGAGAGGTGAAGGGGTCTAGCGCACCCCTCCCCCCTCTCCCGAACGCATCCCTCCCTCACGCAACTGCGCGCCGGTCGTTACAGAACTCGACTAAAAAAATCCCCAACCAGTGATTGTGGCCCTGGCGCTAAACGCTTCCCGGCTAACCCTACGGCACGCTGGGCTAGCCAGCGGCCAAAACTAAACCGCGAACCCGAGAAATTAGAGGTTTATTTGCGCACTTCAGAGAGACTTGTCCATGAACTCGCTTCTCTTTATATTATGTAGAGAGTTTTGCTCAGATATTGATTGGAAGAAGAATTCAAAATTCAGCGAACGAGGGGTCTACAAGGGCGTGGATTGGAGCGCCGCCAGGACGGCCTTTTCCAACGGTGCCATTCTGATTCGGCAGCAATCGGTGGAAAAGGCCTCCCTGGCTGCGCTCTAATTCATGAACTACGAACGCGCCTCAAGGTCCATTCATCGGATTCAAAGTTTTTTAGAACTGTTGGGCGATGATATCAAACACATGGGCGTTCATCAAAAGGCACAAAGGCAAAATCATCGCCGGTAGTATGTTGGTTAGCGGAGCTGTGGCTTACGCTTACCACACGCAGGAACAGGCCCATCGATCAGCGCTATTGAGCGTCGATGAAAACACCTTGAAATTTAAGGTTAGTTGCTATTTTTGGCAGAATTTCAGTAAAGTGGGAGAGGAGGAAGTTTTGCAGCGGATGGTTCGCAGATAGGTGCGGAACCGAGAGGTGAGAAAAACATACCGCGAGCCAAGGGATGGGTTTTCACTGGGGGACTTCGGGGTGGGTGACCCGATTATCATGTGAAAAAATTGGGATCGTCAAGGTCACAGTGATCAACCCATGTAGGCGAGGCGAGAGAGCGCAGAGAAGAGCTGACAATTGTTACGATAAAAGCATTTACTTTCGAATTGTCCGTAGACTAAATGGTTGGAGGATGGGGATGAGGTCATGTTTCGGCGATGGGGAAAATTTTTGTTAAATACGACCCACCCCCTTCCCCGATTTTCTCTTCCGATACGGCCACCTTCGCTAACTGACCTAACGTCTTGCCAAAATTTCTCAAAAACATGCCGTCGTGTGGGGGACGAGAGGAGTAGGGGCGTAACAATCTTCAATTACCTATCGGCTCCGTTCATACTTACCGTCAGTGTTTCGACCGCACGACAGCATTTCGGGCGACCAGGAATCTTTAGGTATCGATCTAGCGTTTTGACCGTACGCCAGCGTTTTCAGCAACTGTTGGCGAAAAATTCAAACTCCACGCGAAACGCTCAAAATGCTGAATTGATATCAACGCATTCCTAGTCGCTCAAAACGCTGCCGTACGCTGGCGTATGCTGGTTCGATACCTATATTTTGCAGCCGCTCAAAACGCTGACGCAAACTATGAACGCAGCTTTGTTCTATAAAGGAAGGACTACACTATGTCTCTTAGTTTGTTTGAAATTCTATCACATAGGCTAGACGGCATTATGTCTTCGACACTAACCACCGTGCTTGTGATCAATCAATCACCAGCATCGTACCTGATTTACAAGCGCTTGTTCAGGTTTGTTTTCAGTTCATCCTTTCATTTTTTCTTTTTACCTTATTTCCCACTCTTTTTCATTTCTTTCACTGTTTCGTATTTTTCAGCGCAGATTCAATATTGAATTGCTCATAGTTCGGTTGAAAGAATGCCCTGATATGAGCGTGGAAGATAAAGTGGAACTTTGGCAGAAGATTAAGGTATTTTCAGATCGTTTGTAGGCGTATATAACACGAGTACACAGTCCACTGCCTGACCGCTTTCAGACTTCGCGATCGCGCGACCAGACCGATCGATTGAACCGCGCGATTGCGAAGTATGAACGCGGTCATACCAGCTAGAAAATGTCTCGTGACGACATATCTCGCCAGTGACGTATCTTATGACGTCACTGACAATTATACATGTTTCTTCGTGGTTAGAGTGACAAACTGCAGGCCTGTGTTACACCTGTGTCATTTGTACTCCTCACCTGAACACACAAAACCTTTTGCATTCAGGTGCTGAGCGTGGCTCGTATCGTTGGGATTGCATACTCTTATTCCTTACTGACGCTGGCAATGAAGGCACAGATTTCCATCCTTGCCCACGATATCTGCTCTGAATTTGAATATGCAGTGTGTTATACACCTTCATGGTATGGTCCAGGGCTATTCAGTAGGATAACTTCAAATTACCGCACACTTTCCGCTTACAGGCTGGATACAATCAAGTCTCAAGTGGAAGGGTATCTTGGATACAAGAAAGAGCCTATCTGGGACCCATTCATTAAGGCCAAGAGCGAGCAAGGTGCTGCTAATCGACAAATTTTTATACGGTGTATCGAATATTACGCGAACACAGGTACGTCCACATATTTATATGGATAGGGTAGAGAAATGAAGGTTTCGCCTTTGAGCATTCTCTCTCTTTCTGGGATTCTACACCCATTCTACACTCCATATCATAGACATGAAGAGGGCGTGGCTGCGTTCTCGTTTGAACACGAAGTAGGTTTTTCGAGGATATTCCTTTTTGAGACAACAGTAATCCTGCCACAAACAGTAGACAAAAGCAAAGATTGTACCGCAAAAAAGCGTAGCAGGTGTACCGCCAAAAAGCGTAGCAGACGCATCTTTCAAATGAAGCACTTAGCCACGCCCCCTCTATCTCCGGGATATGGAGTGTACCTTCATTCGGAATCTTTATGGCTTATTGATACAGAATGGGGGAGAAGGCAACAGAAATTTGATGAAAAGGCTTGAAATCTACCTTTTTCAATTCTATCTCACTTCTCCTTCGCAGAAAATCCATGCAGCTGTTTTACCAAACATCCTAAAAGTTCAGGAGTCTCCAAGCTGTTGGACGTCATAGAAAGCACTTGTTCGGAGTACTGCTCAACGCTGGCACTAACGGATCGCGTCAATCAGGACAATTTGCGAGAAGTGCTTGATGCCGTAGATAAAAAGCTTTCCGAATCAGGTCCAAGTTTCTTTTCGAAGCTAGTAGCTCCACTTTCTGAAGATGAGGTAAGAATTATTTTTTCCAATGGGTTTTTTCTTAGCCGACTACTTACAGAAACTTTCGACCGAAGGAGTTTTACCACTCCTGTCTCGTTTGGTGAAAGCTTTAGAGTCAGAGAAAGGGCGGGAAACGTTAACGAGCCTGGTGGACTTCTATCACACTGCGGCTGTACATGTAAGTACTGCTTGTTGGATATCTACCTTAAACTTCCCAGTAACAACATACACATTTATTGATCATTTTTGAAAGGCATTTCTTGGTAGATTTATTCAGGCACAGTTCGGAACGGGGGGGGGAGGTGCGGTTTTTACATTTTCGATGCTCCACTAGCTCCGCTGTGTAAATCCGCGTTCATAGCTTGCAGCCGTGAAGAAATGCGGAAACTGCAGAAGTGCGGAAAGTGCGGAATCTGCAGAAATGATGAAAAGCATCGAATGCACATCGACTTGAAGAAATGCAGACAATCCGGAATTTGTAGAAAGGCAGAACTAACGAATTGCGAGGAATCGACACGTATCTTATCCTTTTCGTTAATTTGCCGGTTCCGCATTTCCGCTTTTCTTCTGCAGGTTCCGCATTTCCGCATTTCTTCAAATACAACAATTCGTATCTAATGCTTTTCGTCATTTCTGCAGATTCCGCATTTCTTCATTTCTGCATTTCTTCACGGTCGCAAGCTATGAACGCGGCCTAAGGTCTCAGTCTGGTGGGATCAGTGAACTGCTGTGAAGCTGGAGCAAGCTCATCCAGCCACCATGGAAATCTGCCAACTCTTGTAAGCTCAGGAAGCGAGTGTTCAGCTCTAGCAAGCTCTCTAGATGGCTCGACACGTCGATGGAAAGTAGCAAAAGTGCAGAATGCCCTGACCCCGTCGCCGAACTTTCTCCGCTGGCGGACGCTCAAAACGTTCGCAGGCGCTTTAAATGCTCACAGACGCTTAAAAGCTGCCGCAGAGTATGAACGCACTCAAAGAGAAGAAACTGCTCGCTTCAAGTTACATATGTCTCAAGACAAGTTACACCGCCGCGTAGTTATTCCCAGCGTTGCCGATATTTACTTTCACTCCGTTGCAATGAGCTTTTTCAGAAAGTTCCAAAAGAGCCAGAAGTACTTGTCAAATTGCTACCTTCCATGCCTGATGTATTCCATTTCATCTCTACGGACGGTTATGATTCACCATTAAAAAATAGTCTGTGCTCATCGGATGTCTATAGGTTTGCTAAATTCGTATTTAAAACAATCTGAACAGTTCACGAAGGGCGTCGTCGCCTGAGGAACTCAGAGAGCCATGAAAGCTTTCCATTTATGCGCTACTTTGTTATTGTCTCTGTACTCTTATCCTTGTGTATCCCATGTATTTATCCTCTCAAGGTTGTCAATCAAAGACTTTACATTCGCTTAGATCTGCTATGAAGTTCACTTAAAACTCGAGTCTTCTAGTGCCATATCTTGTCAGCTTTTCACATTCCATCAATCGTGCCTTCACTTGCCATCAAAGTGTATTTAATATTGACCAGAGAATAAATGTGATATATTTCTTCTTGTATACTGCGGACAGCCTTTCTATTTGTGGAACTCCATGGGAGTACTGTAATTCTGACTAACTTTTATTCGTAAATAATCTGTTGCACTGAAGCTGAGGTGCTATGCCAAATGAACGCAGGATACTGAAATTTGCCTCGACGTTTGCGGCGTGTACTCCTCAGGTACATGTGCTTTACATTTTTATTCATTTTCTATCTTAGGTTAAAAGTTGTTTAGAGATGGAGGGGGGGGGAGGGGGATGATCGCGCAAGGACGCGATTCGCTTTCAGCTTTACGAGAGGCCACACTGAATCTGGTCATCTGCGCTCTGCTGAGAGTGCGTTCATACTTCGCGATCGGATTGCACGGTCTTGTCGCCTGCTCGGTCCAGGCGATGAACACGCTCTGAAAGTGAGCCTTGGGCATAGTAATAGAAATGGTCGCTCTCCCCTTCCCTCCTGTGAACTGGCATCCTCCCCTTCCCTCCTGTGAACTACATCAGCGTCACTTTTTTCCTTGTTCGCGTTATTTGTAACCAGTTCTTTGATCGGTTTTCTCTCAATTTGAAAAAATATTGGTGTAGGCTGCGGCATATGGTGCTTGTGTTTCGAGACAAGCAGAAAGAATATCAAAGGACGCTTGTGCAGACGAGTTTTCAAAGTTACTTGATTGTGTAAAGAAGCAGGTTTGTGTATTGAGAGATTTGTTTATCACGCACATTTACTCCTATGGTTTCTCGGGTGCGGGGGGGGGTCGATCTGCTACAAATTATCGTTCGGGTTGCGGTGGCGTGCGGCTTCCGAATGGGAGCTCTGGGTAGGGGGATGGGGTTCGAGTCTTCCTCCAGATGTACTATACTCTACCGGAGGATCTGAGGGAGTTACCAGTCGAGAGTTTCCTTTTCCCTACCCCTTCCCCCCGTCAACAGGTATAGACGTAGATCTCCAGCGCCTGTCTGAGTTACTGTAGTTCGAGGTATGGTGTCTGGGTGAGGTTCTTCCCGAGGCACATAGCACCCTCTCTGAGTTATTGTATGTTGAGAAGGGGGGGGGGGGTGGTAGAGCACGGCCGCTGAGTGTGGGCGAATCATTTTTCGTATAGCAAAAGTTGAATTGGGCCAGGAAGAGTTCGAAGTGGTGCGCTCCATCACTTCTAAAAAGTGCAGTTTACCGGAACCCTAACGAAATATTACAAGATGGTTCTTCCCGAGGCACATAGCGCCCTCTCTGAGTTATTGTCTGTTCTCTTATGGATCCCTTGGGTTGTGCCCTGCTTGCAAGAACATACCAAACATAAAATCTCTCGGATCATGACAGGTACACTACTTTGGGCGGTTACTGGTTAACATAATCTGAATTGGCTCTGTATAGAGGATGGTAGCATATGTGGAACAAAAAGAGAAGAACCCAAAATTTTACCATCGCTCTCTTTAGTTGAGCTATGAGCCTGCGTTTCCTCTGAGCTCACATTTTCCTTCTTATGACATTATTGCTCAGAAAAATAAATAAATACCCGAAAATTTCAGCAGAAGAAGGCGTAGTAAACAAGGAAGATGAAAGTTAAGAGACTGAAAAGAGCCAATCGCATTTTAACGTTTTTCAAGTACAACTACAAGATTGTGCCGCCGTTCAGGTATCCGAATTGTTATTCATCATTGTACTTCCATCTTCATAATACCGCATTCTAGAGTGTTGGTCGATGGCACGTTCACTAACGCGGCTCTCGCAAATAAAATCAACCTGCGGGAACAACTGCCGAAATACTTGGACGGGGATGTTGAAATCGTGACTACGAAGTGTGTACTCGCCGAGCTGGGTGCGTTTCCTTTGGTGTGGTGCGCCTGGAGTGATGATGTGGATTCAGCAAGGTTTCTAATTTCGTGGTAGTGTGTCGCTGAGTGCTTGGCCACACTCCAACGAGCTTTCTGGGAGCATTGAGGAGCTCGCTTGTCCAATTATTGCTCATTGCTGAAGTACAGGGAGGCAAAAAAAGACACTTTTCTTCCTGGACTTTCAAGGCGCTATAAGTTACCCTTTTCAAATTCTGATTGGACATTTCCACCACCATATTCAACAGCATATTGTATACTGTCACGATGCTCCGCCAACCTTCTGGACAAGCGCCATCGAGAGATTCTGCCACGCGACCGTGATTTTCGGAGTTTTCCAACGCCCTTGGATTCCGTGTGAAGGCACCCAATCCTGAAGCAGTACGAAGTTTCCAAGATGGTATGGGCGACGATAGATAGGTCTGATATTCTCTGAGTTGCCTTGATTTATACGGAGCGCTCACCTTCGGAGTCCGAGGGTTCACGAAAAAATATCGGTCTATCTACCAGGTAACTTTCCCTGGTCATTGCCATCAGCCCGCCCCCTTGGCGACTAGGTGTGAAAGATATATCCTGAACCATAAGCCGACGTGTTGTCGGAGCTGCTCGATATTGGGGACTTCCAGATCAAGGTGCTGATCCCTAGGTAGCTATCCATGGGTGACTCCGTTCAAGAAGTTTCGCAGCTGTTTGGAGGTGACTTCATATTTTGGTGTATCGTCGCAGGCGAAGAGCCTGGTCTGTTTATTCACAAACATCCTTACAAGGTGAATGGTTTTGAACTCCCCATGGAACTCTGATGTGAAGAGCCTGAGGTGAGAGTCGAGTGAGAGCGAATGCTGATTACGAATATGCAGATTAAAAGTGCTACGGGGACCTCCCAGACGAGATCTGGGTGGTCAAAGTTTTGGTTCTGGCTCGTAAGCGCTGCTGATCGATGCCTCGGCAGTGCCACCGTGGCCTCGTGGTAATGGTCTCGCTTTCAAGTCAAACGCATGCGGGTTTGCATCCGGTTGGCGCGAAAATTTTTGCTTCGCTCCGTATAAGAGCTTCAACTCTAATTTTCGAAATTCTTCCGAATTTACGGCCCAGCAGGGCAAGTAGATCAAGTACATCAAGTATACGACATACATCTATGGATTTGGAATCATATCTGCAAGCTATGCATGAACATATTACCCATCCGACAATTCAAAGTTTTGCCCAGAATCGCAATTTGGCCAGACGAGCGTTTTTTCGTCGAAGGATGTGATATTCGTGTTCAGGGGTCGAAATCTCCCATGAACGAATTTCTCGCTAAAACTTTGAATTGTCGGATGGGTAATATGTTCAGAGAGGGCAGATATGACCAAATCCATACTAGATCGAGAATGATCGGATCGTTGGTTTGTACAGTGATCTATTTAGCCCTGGCTGCCGCGCGTAAATTCGGAAGAATTTCGAAAATTAGAGTTGAAGCTCTTATACGGAGCGAAGCAAAAATTTTCGCGCCAACCGGATGCAAACCCGCATGCGTTTGACTTGAAAGCGAGACCATTACCACGGGCACGGGCGTCTGCGACAGCATTCGATAGCAGCGCTTACGAGCCAGAACTCAAACTTTGACCACCCAGATCTCGTCTGGGAGGTCCCCGTAGCACTTTTAATCTGCATATTCGTAATCAGCATTCGAGGCTCTATCGATGAACCTAGGTCTCCATTCAAAGTTCCATGGGAAAGTTCAAAACGCACTTCTTGGGTATCTTCCGCCCTGGTACTCGTATCCACGTCCTCTGTCTGGGCTGCGAAAACTTTGCTGATATGTGACTCGGCCGAAGTGTCTTCCCCCCTGTATTTCTGGAATTCCGCCCGTTTTCGGCAAAATCAGTTTTTCAGAGAGCCTTGGTTCCCCTGTTTATGGAGCGCTTGTTATTGCTCGTCAGTTTGAAGTGGACGCTTGTCCGCATACTCCAACTCGTCCAGCTGCTGAGTGCCTCGCACATCTTGCCCGTCGTGCTACTAAAGGGAAAACGAAATACGTCATTGCCACTAATGTAAGTTCGTTATGGTTCTATCATATTTCGAGGTCGCATTTTTATTGAGGCTATAGCGAACAGTTCAGAGTTTGCTCTGTGTTGTTCAGTACATGTAGATGTTTTGAAGAGAGATAGTGTAGAGGCAAGTGGCACGCCGCGCGCTAGGGGTTGAATCGTGGATCGACTCCCTCCTAGGCCAACCCCTCCGAGGACTGTAACTCGGCACCAAATTCATTTGACAGGATAAGAACACTGACTTGTACAGGGGCATTTCTGTACGGTGGGGCATCTTGGTGCGGAGAACTCTGGACATTTCGAAATTTGGACCAACATTTTCATGAAACATTCCCGGTTTGTTTCACCCACCCAGCACCTCCCCCTCCCTAGACTTTGACAAAAATCCTCCCCTTTGTTCGCACAGGTTTCTTCGCACCTGGCAGCACTAAATTTCCCCAATAGAACAACCGATGAAATCTACTTTGAAGGTCGTCTTGTGCAGGATCGGGATTACCGTGCTCAACACGGACTGTTGAGATGTTCTGGCTCACTGGAATACCGGGAACCGCCCATGCTTACTCATTTCATCTTTTAGGATGATTCGCTCTCGGAAAAGTTGCGTACTATTGCTGGTACACCTATCCTTTACATAAAATATAATGCAATTCTACTGGACCGAGTATCGGAGGTAAGGAGTTATCGTTTTGTATGTGTTTTGTCGGGTTCTGCCACCGTAACTGGAAATGGGACCATAATCTATTTTATTTTGGATTTCGAAAGCTGCCGCGGATGACGTACACAAAAATGAGCTGGAAAGTTTGAAAGCAATCAAAGCTGCCGTGTTGGGTGAACAAAACGTCAAAAAGAAGAAAAAGAAAATAAAGGTACGTTCGGATAAATCTGTCAGGGAGTACTACTCAAAGTATGCCTCGGGGACAGGGGGGGGGTTGGATTACTCAGTGTGGAACCTCTATCTGCAACTTGCTTCCCACCCTTAAGAGCTGGTTTTCTCCCAGGCTCAGGCATGAATCCTTATTTTTGTTAAGGTAATCCCAGTCTTACACATTTTTTCAAATGCTCCTTTCAGTGGATTTTTTTGTAGTAGTAGTTATTAATTTTTAAGGGTGCCAATCCACTCTCGTGCAAAAAGAAGAAAAAAGCTACGAACACAGTGTTGCCTGTGAAACTGGAGAGCGGACAGCCAGTGGCAGGAGAAAAAGGTCTAAGCGAAAGTCGACTGTTTCAGTCGGCCAGCCCGCCTGAAGCGCTAGAATATAGGCCGCTTTTGACTTGTTGCTTGTAGAAATCATATGTAGTTATGTTACCTTGTTGTTGGTGTTCGTTTTAAGTTGTTGTAACTGATAAGATAACAGTATAAACATTTTGTTTGCGTTGTTTTGAATCCAACATAGCAAGATTTAAGTGCCAGATTATGAAAAGCTCTGTATTTTCTTTCGGCTTTGAAACAAGATTACTCCGAAGTGTAGACATAATACGGTAGTCGATTTGTCTCACGATCCGACCACTGTGTTGGACGGTACAGCAGCATCGTCATCTTTACTTATACTACCGGCTACCGAACATTATCCAACACAAGTTGTTGCTGGTGGGACCAATGGAGAGGTGCGACATTTTTTTCGATGAATTCCTATTTTTCAGCTCATCGAGGTCAGCACTAGACCGTGCCCACCGTAATGCAGTACCCTATTCTGGCGGGATCATTGAGCGAACGCTATCTCGGAAGAGAGCGCAGACGAGCAAAGAAAGTCACATGGTTGCGCAGCCGCACGCTTCCCTTAACTGCCTTATTACACCACAGCTGGAGTTCAACGCACAACAAAAAATGTGCATGTTGATTTTGGACCTGGGCCTATTATTAGCGGCAACTTGATTGGAGGGGGGGGATCATTTGAGGTACGTCTTCCCTATTACGTGACAACTTGAACTTCTTTGCGTGGTCCTGTTGCGAAACCAAAGTAACGCAGACAGAGGATAGCGGCTGTCAAATCATCGAAACGTGCAAGATAGCACGTAGCGAGCACAGAAATGGGTTTTTAGGGAGTGCTCCGTAGGTGGGTGAACGCGAGTTATAATCCTGAAAAAGCTGGAATGATCGCGAAGGTGACACAGCCCAACAAAGAGTGCCAATGCGACAGAGAACGCTGAGTAAAAACAGAAGATCGACGCGCAGTCAAACCTGATTTATGGTTGTTCGTCAACGCGTTTTCCCTGTGAGATTTAGGCCCTTGCCGCTGAGTCATTGCATAGGCCCCGTTCGCTTTCACGGTCAGTCGGAGAAAAGCGATGGAGCATAGAAAACGAGACGATTAGGCGGAAGCAGAGATTTCCATCGTAAAACTCCAATTACGAATGCAGCTACTTCCCCCCCGCCCCCCCTCCCGCACACTATCAAGAGTAAGATGAGTACCATCGGCTAGGATTTTGAGGCATATTCGTCGTTTTCAGGTGTATTTCATGAAATACGATGGTAGCACCGATGTGGTGAAAATGCCAGCGAAAAGCAGTTCTCCAGTCATCTGCTCTAGGCATGTGAAATTTGAGAGAAGAGGTGGCGAATAGGTAGTGAATTCGTTTGGCTACGATGTCGGTGGTAAAGTGTAGCTGCAGAAGGCAATACTAAGACTTGGCCATTGCCCATGTCTCCATAGTCGTTCTTCGCTGTCACCGTCAGGCGATGGGCCATCTGAGTCCAACCTCTGTAAGAGGACCGCAGACAAGGCAGGACTTGTAATCTGGTTTTTAACTGGCCGCCGGCCGTTGCCTTAGCGCAAAAGAACTTCTTGGAAAATGCCTGTTATGGGGTAATATAATACCGCTTCTCTACGTTGATTGTTCCAGGCCCGAATTGATAGCAATATCGGCGGACGGTTTCCTTCAGTGCGTACATCCGCCGTATAGCCATGCTTCGAGCGTGTACAGCCAGATAGTTCAGGTAAGTTTGTTATCTAGGAATGGTCTGACATAAAAAAACCATTTTAGTCGAATATTGCCGCGGCGTACGTGACGGATGTTGATGGAGATGGTCAAGAGGAATTGGTTGTCTTCATGACAGATAGAGTGGGTAGGTTACCTTGATCTACTACTGTCTGACAACGAGGCAACATTGCCAGATGGATGCTGCTGGGCATAAGTTTGTTTCCTTGACACACTCTGCGATTACCTGATAGGACAATTCGATCGTTTCCAACTGCCACGCATTCTAAGAGGATGATAGCAACTCGAAAGCAAGATACGAGGGCACTGAGGCTATTTCAAAGCGCAGTAAGTTACCTACCCCCCCCCCTCTCGCGAAAGCCAGAATGCGAGCTGCACTCCTGGATGTAAGTATGCTATTCTTTCCAGACAGAATGAATAAGAGATCATGTTGTGTGTCGGGGAAAATGAAATAGTTGGGGAATACATGTTGGGTGGAAAATAATCTCGTCAGTGAATGGAGTGGAGTCGCTGCTATCGATTGCTTCTGTCAGGTTCGAAACAGTTCGATGGAAGTTTCGAAGGATTTGTCGCCTCCACTTCAATCAACAAGTGGGAGCTTCCCATCAATTATTTCCGCACTCGCATCAGAGGAGTAAAAGTAGGTAAACAAAACCCGACTTTTCGAGGATTACTATTTCGTTTATTCAATAGGAAGTTGATTACAGAAGCGTCTTACGTGCGCTGAAGCGTGTCTATCCACAAATGAGGTGCCGAGATTTACGTTTGTGTGTCCGTCTCAGCGCATCAACGCCACTCGTTATCGAAACTATCCACAAGAACAAGGTAGGTGGAACGGACGTCCATGTTTGATCCCGTTCCGTTCACGATACATCGTACATAATCTGGGAACGGATCTTAATTTACGACAACATTGGTTATCTATTGTGGAGCATTTGGAGTTCCGTCTTCACGAAAGATGGTGGTCATTCCATCTGAGAAGAAGTTTCAGGAAACGCGAAAATTGTCCAGTGGATTAAGAATTCCGGTGAAAGCTTTATGGCAGGGAGACGATTGCTGGGAGACGACGGCAGTTGCTGACACGAACGTCCATTGTGGAAGGCGTGTGAGGTGGCAAAAGCGCTTCCCTCGCCAGCCCTTTCACGTGTGCAATGACGTTAGCGACAACCGGCCCGCCCCCAAAGTACTCACTCTTGAGGGTGAAGAGCTCGGGCTGGCAGCGAACGAGTTAGGATAAAAAATTTATACGGTATTTAAACTGTGGCCTAAGAACTTCCTGAATGGCCTCACCTCACTGAAGTAGTTCCTGAAAGAACAGGCCTGTGGGTACATTCCGAATACCTTCACGACGTGTTTCGTTTGTGAAGCTGCTCAGAAAAAAAAAGAAGAGAGACAGGTAAGGAAGGGAATGTGGTCGCGCGTGATAGATGAAAGCCCGTTTGCTAATACGGGTATGCAATAAATTCTTACTATAGTGCAGTAATGTTTGGCTGCATGGGCATGTCAGGTGGCGGATTCTGGCCACGGGTGTGCCAGCACTTTTTCCTCCAACTGTTGTCGCTTTCCCCTTTTCATTAGTTGTAGAAGAAATGATGTCGCCGCGTCAAACCCAACCCCCGTGACAGGCACGCGAACAAGACGGAAACTTGGGCGCATGAGATTCTGCATTCTCTGCTCGTCTGCGATCTCCCGCCGAGATAGCGACCCCGTCCTCCTTCAGCCTCACCCACAGATAGCGCAGACGAACAGAGTTATCAAGGGCTTCCTGGTCGCATGGACCTCCAAGTTTCTTGGCATTGTTTCCTCAACTTTTTTCTCGCGATATTTCAAAACTTGTTTTCAGCCAATCAGAAAGAGCGAACGTTAGCGAATCCCGGATGGGGAGTGGCTGCTGCAGCTGCCGTACGGCACAAAAATTTCAACTGTCTTGTGACCTTAGATATCACTGGCAATGTGCTTGTATATGGATATAATCAGCGCAGTGTAACGGTACGTGTTTCATTTTTCGAGCCGGACTGTGCAAAGAGCAGATTCATCCGTGCGTTCGCAACGCGCATTACTGGATTAGTTAGGGAGGGGCATAACTGATTTTTTTCGAGAGTTCTGCTTCGACTCTATTTGATGTACTTTCATTCTACAGAGTTCAGCAAAACTCACTCAAAACAATCAGTCACATTTGATGGAGCCGGCCATCTCAGTGCGACCGCACGCGCGCTTTACGACCTCCGTGCTGCTGCTTCATGGATGGTAGATTTTTGACAGACATAAAACCGTGTTCCAGAAATCGGAAATCACGCCTTTGTTGTCGTTCAAGACGTTTTCAGACGCTACTTACCTGGCAGTAACTCTCTGTGGAGAAGTTTTACTCATCGGTATGTTCTTTACGACATGTACCCTCCATATCCTAAAGATAGAGAGGGCGTGACCGCTCCTCTCTCCTCAACGTGACGTGCGGTGCGTTTTTCATAGAAGATATTTCCATCTGAGACAACTGCTATCCTTCTTGTATTGAACAAAGACGTGATTACAGTTATCTCAAGAGGGTAATATCCCCAAAAAAGCGCAGAGCCGCCGCGTTCCAGTGAGGTACACAGCCACGCCCACCCCATCTCCAAGATTATGAGCGTATTTGTGAGTCTAGCGACCTGATCCTCTGAATTTTATGCTTTCAGCCGTGAAGGGCGTTGTGGGCAACGTGGTGGTTTATGAAGTTCCTGTGAAAAGTATTATCAACGAACTCAGTGTCTAATATGCGGGTTGTTTTTTTTTTGTTCCTCTAGTCTTCGATTATTGCTTCTGATTCCTCTGCCTTCTTCTCTTTTTCTGATTTCAAGGAATTCCATCTCATTTTTTTGGCAGGGTACTGGAAAAACAAGAAATCCACACTGCAAACTTCACCAGTGACGTCGCGCTCGGCATATAGGGCACAGCATCGTGATGTGTGAAGTGGTAGTGTCAGTACGACCCCCTCTCGAGGGATGGTGTCACTACGACCCCTCCCCTAAAAGTGGTCCCGATACGACCACTCCCACTTCCCCTACACTAGCCTACCACTTTCCTACAAGTTCCCAGCTTCACACCCGATTTCACCCCCAAGAATTATCCGGGGAGGGGTATATGGCCAATGAGAAACAGGAAAAATACTTAGAATTCCTTAGATTATCTCCAACTTCCTACCACTTTTTTCGGAATTCACCGAAAATTTTCCTACTTTTTCCAAAAATTTAACTGTCGAGCAGGGAGGTGGGGGTGGTATATAGTACACATGGAACAGGAAAATCACGAAAAGTCAAAACCGGGAAAATTTCTTTTCCAACTCGGCAAATTCCTCTCAAAGCCCCTCCCCCCCTCCCTAGCGGAAAAATACGACCCCACCTATGTGTTTCACACAACAATGCTGTACCCTGTCGGCATATAACATTAGATGTGTCTCCGCGTGTGTGACCTAGTTTCCGCGCACGCCGCTATGTGGACCTACTGACTGCCATTTCATACGTTAGTGAAGGAGTTGTGGACGTGTTTGTCTTGGTAGGGGCAGTTAGCTGATTCCCATCATTACCAATGACGCCGTTTACGGAGACCTGTAAATTCCTGTAAAGCTATGGAATAGCTTGAGCTTCGTTTTCACTTGACAAGAGTGAACACGTCTCCCCATGGTGACAGGTATAATTTGACAGGAACTAGCGAGAAAAATTAACCGAAGTGGAAAGTGTCCCCCCCCCCTTTCCCTTCCACCTATCTTAGTCGAATAGCGCCGATAGGATAGCCAAAACCCTGAATTAACACATTAAGGTCCGCCGTTTTCCCGCATCATTTCAATTATCTATGTCAATTTTCACATAACTAACCCATAATTTAATATGTTCTTTCGCTTTCCCTTCGAGATATCTACATTCCGTGTCGAAGACTGTTCTGGTAACTTCAGAACATGAATAGATGCCAAAGTAGGCTATATGTAACAGCGCAGAGAGAAAAATGTATGACGCACCATGTGTGTCATGCGGTCCGGAATGTTATCATGAGTGGGCAGGCTTAGGTCATTGTTAAGATAAAATATGCAATCAGAGGTCTCCGCGACAGTGAATGGAAGCGGAGTGCACGGCTCATTTGCAAAAAAATTGATTCATTCTATCCATTGTCGTTGTTCTCCTTCTCTTTTCTTTTTCTTGTGGCTGGTTTCTTTTCTGGACTTGTATTTTTATTCTACATTTTTGCTTCAGATGTAAGCTGCCACTTTCTGCTATTGTTAATGTTTTATGTTGCAATTCATATTTCCAATGAATATGAAAAAATAAATAAAAATTGTCAAATTCGTAAATATTTATGAAAGGTACAGAAGCAATCGTTCCAAAAGAATAGGGATATAGTCAACTTGCACTGTATATTTATAGGTTTTCCTTGAGCTAAGATGCTAAAAAGCTGGTCCGCTTCAGCAATTGGATGCCCCCCCCCTGTACACGCCCCAACGTCTGCAGCGTAAATGACTGTAGTTCCTTGCTTTGGAACGCTTTTTAGAGACATTACATTTCAACAATCGTTGCTCATTGGAGAATTCCGTTCGTTCTTGATAGTCTCCAGTGCGAAATGACGTGAATGATTGAATGAGCTATTGATGTTGTGTAGATGGACAGCAAAATTACGGGTACTTACGGACCATAAGCGTGGTGTGGAGGAAGGTCGAAAAAACGTTTAATAGCACGATTCGTTTAGGCGGTTCTTTGACGATATGGCAACATTGGGTGGTATGGTCAACATCTGCATGCACTATTTATTCAAAAGGAATGGCGAGATATGTCAACTGGGACACCTGCCATCTCCTTCATGTTGGCGGCAGAAGAAACGACCACAGTGCTTGTCAAAATGTAGCATATCTCTCTAATGCATCATAGCCACCGCCCTTATTCAGTCTAAGTTACCAGCCACGCCTCACTACATCTACAGGATTTTGCAGTGTATTGTTTCTCTGCAGTCGAACCCAGTAGGTCGCGGGTGCGAAAAGGCTGGAGTGCTTGAAAACAAAAGAGCAAAGGCCACAGTGCAGAGAAATGGAGAAGGGCGACAGGAGGAACTCCTCGTCTCATAGAGGATCACCTCCTCTAGCCGTACACGTCCCTGCATCTTTTGCTCTGGAGATAACTCCCCGTGTCTACAACAGCTAGATACAGTCATGATCCCTGCAAACCATAGAGCGTTTACGGGGCGGGAAATCATCGCCAACTAAGGCAGCTTTCCGCCAGGTTTGCCTAGAGGACTCACGATCAGGGCGCATCGTTGTTGGGGAATCCCCAATAGGGGTCGTATTTGGCCGCCAGGAGAGGGAGAATGTCGTATTTGGGCTGAAGCGCGGTCGCCAAGGCATCGAAAAATGCGAAGAACAAGTCGCGAGCCTGAGTATGAGTTTTTCAGGAGGAGACATCGTGGTGGATGAGCGCAGCCTTATCGATGGGTTGCAAGTGCTGGAATGTGCCAAGGTCAGCAGTGCTCAGAGCTATCGATGCAAGACTGTCAAGAGTCATGATCACGAGAAAAAAAGCAGAAAGTTTGATACGATCAGGGGATTCAGTGCAAATATCGCTAGATCCTTTACGGGGACGGCCCCGCTCACGATCTACGAGGATATTGGCTTGCTAGGTCGGATCTTTCACCAAACGTACCTGAGCACGCACATCATTGGCTGGGAATTCTTGGTCGGTCCGTACGACTCGCCCCCCCCCCACTTTTTTTTGGGGGTTGATACGACCGCCCCCCCCCTTCGGCCTTTGTCCCTCCTGCCTCCAGACTGAGCCGTAGAGCGGGGGGGGGGGGCGGGGTATATAGTAGCGCATGAAACAGGAAATAAGCGAAAGTCAACACCACTCGCACCACTCCTAAAAGGCCAAAAAAGTATTTACTACCCCCCCCCAGCAATGAGCGAGTACGAGGCGCCCCTTTTAAAACCTCTGTGAAGTGTGAAAAATCAACTATCAAAGTAAATTTTTCTCAGCCCGAATACGACATCCCCCTCTCCTGGCGGCCAAATACGACCCCCTATTGGGGATTCCCCCGAACAATGCATGTGCCGGCTGGATCGTGAGTCGCCTCAGCAATTGGCGGGAAAGCTGCCCTGGTTGCGTATCAATTTCCGTCCCGCCCCATAAACGCACTATGGTTTGCAGGGATCATGACTGTAGCTATTGTAGAGACGGGGAGTTATCTCCAGAGCAAGATGCAGGGACGTGTAGCGGCCAGAGGTGGTAAGCCTTCTTTTTTTGTTTTATATGCAGACGGAGGAGTCCTTCTCCTTCGCGCTTCTCCTTTCTGTGCAATGTAACCCTTTGTCTCTGGTCTCTCGTCTGCGCTCGCGATGTCTTTTCACCTCTCCCTTCTAGTCCAACTTCGACAATTGAAGGTCCTTTTGCGATTACAAATCGTAGCTAGTGGGATTCAGAAGCAAAGCTTATAAGCTTGCCTAATGGTGAAGAATGAAACGGATCGAACCGTTAAACTTTGATAAGAACCGCTTTCTGGTAGCTGGCCATGATCACTGGACGAGAATAAGATGGATGGCCAAGGTCGACTGAACAAACGTGGTACACTGATGAGTGCCTGAGGGTGACCAGAAAATGACAGGCGGGAGAGCACAACGAGAGTCAGAGCATCCCAAACATCCTAGAGGATGGATTCGGTCACTAGAGTCGAGCTAACAAAGTTCCCACGGAAGTGCCCAATTTTCTGCTGTGAAGAAGTTTTCTCACTAGAATTCTTGGTAGATAGCTGCATTTTTGATTACTCTCCCATATATTCGAATCAATAGTATATAAAAGTTATTTTTTTTGTGATGCGAAGCACTTTTGGCGCGATGAAACCGAGCAAAACCTCTTTCAAGTCTTTCCAAGATTCTTCCGTTGACTCTGGCTGACTATTACCTACTCCTTGACGCTTACTTAGCCTAGACACTGGCATGGTAATGTCATCACAGTCTTCCGACGCCCACTGTATTAGTCCCACGGCTGATGACAGTCCACTTTGCACTCTGATTACTCTCTTGCCCTCTGTTGTCTGGTCTCTCGACCGACCGCACAGTGTTTTTTCACTGCATACCCAAACAATCCAGTAATGGTAAGGAAGAGTTTTTTACTTGAAGATACTTGAAGATTTCCCTATGGGTTTTTGAAAATTTTCTTGATGCGCGGGAATTCCCCTCAAGAGCAAATACGGCCCCTCCCCATCGACAATGTGTGACCCTATGACCTCTCTTGGATTCTCTCAACAATGCTCTACCCTGCTCACAGACCA